GAGTGTACCTCTGTGCAGGTAAACACACTCACGTACAGGCCCCTACACAGGCCTGAGTGTACCTCTGTGCAGATAAACACACTCACTTACAGGCCCCTACACAGGCCTGAGTGTAACTCTGTGCAGGTAAACACACTCATCTACAGGCCCCTACACAGGCCTGACTGTACCTCTGTGCAGGTAAACACATTCACCTACAGGCCCTTACACAGGCCTGAGTGTACCTCTGTGCACGTAAACACACTCGCCTACAGGCCCCTACACAGCCCTGAGTGTACCTCTGTGCAGGTAAACACACTCACCTACAGGCTCCTACACAGGCCTGAGTGTACCTCTGTGCAGGTAAACACACTCACCTACAGGCTCCTACACAGGCCTGAGTGTACCTCTGTGCAGATAAACACACTCACTTACAGGCCTCTACACAGGCCTGAGTGTACCTCTGTGCACGTAAACACAGTCACCTACGGGCCCCTACACAGGCCTGAGTGTACCTCTGTGCACGTAAACACACTCGCCTACAGGCCCCTACACAGCCCTGAGTGTACCTCTGTGCAGGTAAACACACTCGCCTACAGGCCCTTACACACGCCTGAGTGTACCTCTGTGCAGGTAAACACACTCACCTACAGGCTCCTACACAGGCCTGAGTGTACCTCTGTGCAGATAAACACACTCACGTACAGGCCCCTACACAGGCCTGAGTGTACCTCTGTGCACGTAAACACACTCACTTACAGGCCCCTACACAGGCCTGAGTGTAACTCTGTGCAGGTAAACACACTCATCTACAGGCCCCTACACAGCCCTGAGTGTACCTCTGTGCAGGTAAACACACTCACCTACAGGCTCCTACACAGACCTGAGTCTACCTCTGTGCAGATAAACACACTCACCTACAGGCCCCGACACAGCCCTATGTGTACCTCTGAGCAGGTAAACATACTCACCTACAGGCCCCTACACAGGCCTGAGTGTACCTCTGTGCAGATAAACACACTCACTTACAAGCCCCTACACAGGCCTAAGTGTACCTCTGTGCAGGTAAAAACACTCACCTACAGGCCCCTACACAGGCCTGAGTGTACCTCTGTGCAGGTAAACACATTCACCTACAGGCCCTTACACAGGCCTGAGTGTACCTCTGTGCACGTAAACACACTCACCTACAGGCCCCTACACAGCCCTGAGTGTACCTCTGTGCAGGTAAACACACTCACCTACAGGCCCCTACACAGACCTGAGTCTACCTCTGTGCAGGTAAACACATTCACCTACAGGACCCTACACAGGCCTGAGTGTACCTCTGTGCACGTAAACACACTCACGTACAGGCCTCTACACAGGCCTGAGTGTACCTCTGTGCACGTAAACACACTCACGTACAGGCCCCTACACAGGCCTGAGTGTACCTCTGTGCACGTAAACACACTCACCTGCAGGCCCCTACACAGGTCTGAGTGTACCTCTGTGCAGATAAACACACTCACGTACAGGCCCCTACACAGGCCTGAGTGTACCTCTGTGCAGATAAACACACTCACGTACAGGCCCCTACACAGGCCTGAGTGTACCTCTGTGCAGATAAACACACTCACTTACAGGCCCCTACACAGGCCTGAGTGTACCGCTGTGCACGTAAACACAGTCACCTACAGGCCCCTACACAGGCCTGAGTGTACCTCTGTGCAGGTAAACACACTCAAGTACAGGCCCCTACACAGGCCTGAGTGTACCTCTGTGCAGATAAACACACTCACTTACAGGCCCCAACACAGGCCTGAGTGCAACTGTGCAGATAAACACAGTCACCTACAGGCCCCTACACAGGCCTGAGTGTACCTCTGTGCAGGTAAACACACTTACCTATAGGCCCCTACACAGACCTGAGTCTACCTCTGTGCAGGTAAACACATTCACCTACAGGACCCTACACAGGCCTGAGTGTACCTCTGTGCACGTAAACACACTCACGTACAGGCCTCTACACAGGCCTGAGTGTACCTCTGTGCACGTAAACACACTCACGTACAGGCCCCTACACAGGCCTGAGTGTACCTCTGTGCAGATAAACACACTCACCTGCACTCCCCTACACAGGTCTGAGTGTACCTCTGTGCAGATAAACACACTCACGTACAGGCCCCTACACAGGCCTGAGTGTACCTCTGTGCAGATAAACACACTCACTTACAGGCCCCTACACAGGCCTGAGTGTACCTCTGTGCACGTAAACACAGTCACCTACAGGCCCCTACACAGGCCTGAGTGTACCTCTGTGCAGGTAAACACACTCAAGTACAGGCTCCTACACAGGCCTGAGTGTACCTCTGTGCAGATAAACACACTCACTTACAGGCCCCAACACAGGCCTGAGTGCAACTGTGCAGATAAACACAGTCACCTACAGGCCCCTACACAGGCCTGAGTGTACCTCTGTGCAGGTAAACACACTCACCTACAGGCTCCTTTACAGGCCTGAGTGTACCTCTGTGCCATTAAACACACTCACCTACAGGCCCCTACACAGGCCTGAGTGTACCTCTGTGCAGGTAAAAAATTTCACCTACAGGCACCTACACAGGCCCGAGTGTACCTCTGTGCAGGTAAACACGCTCACCTACAGGCCCCTACACAGCCCTGAGTGTACCTCTGTGCAGGTAAAAACACTCCCCCTACCCCTAAATATTTTTGCGTCAACCAATTTTCCCACTTTTTGGATGTAAGACCATAGTCTTTTGTCACTTATTTCCTTTTAAACTAGTTGAGACAACATGTTGTTGTATGGTTGAAGAATATAGCTGATTTTCTATCATTTCGAGTCAAACACTCAAATATTTTTGTGTCAATCCATTTTTCAAGTTTTTGGAGGTAAGACTATGGTCTTATGTCTTTTGTAGATACAAGATTAATGGAATAACAAAATGAAGACATTGTAAAAGATAAGGATATATAACTAAATCATGGAATGTTCAAATCTCGTTCAGTTCTTTCATTACTCATTGGGTTCAATGGTTGAAACGACACATCTTCCAACCAAGCAAAAAATGTTCCAAAAAACACAAAGAAAACAATGTCGGATTCCAAAAACGGAAGATCTGTGATGCAAAATAATCCAAAAAATTCAAGTAGTTTTCCCTTAATACAGCAGCAATAAACTCCACACCAAAGGAACAGTGTTAGTTGTTTGTTCTCACCAAACAGCCCAGCTGAAACTCTCGTTGCCCAGCATGTCCATTCATTCAGAAGTGCATCCGTTCATTAAGGAGTACATCAGTAATCCGTCGAGAAATAATCTTTTACACTTTTAACTTTGCAAAAGAAGAGAAATACACCAAACACGACCAAATATGTGCCCATTGTTTACCTCTGGTGGCAGCCATTTTGGGTCTTCAGAGTGACTTCTCTTAAAGGGACAGGCATGAAAAGAGTGGCAGGTCTTGAGTGTCCCTCTCACTTTATGTGAATAATCCAAATTCATCCCACTTTTGGGGTTTTTAGCTTTTAACTTTTCTGTTTTTATTGTTTTTATTTTATCTAATGAACATTGGTTGTTTTGTCCCGTTTTAGTTTCTTTTAGGAGTTTTTTTCCCCTGGATTAGTTGTAGGTTAATTGGTCCTTTGTAAACTTCTGCAATGTTTAAATAAAGGGGACATAAAAAAACTCACCCTTGCTCTCTTTCTCTCTGTCTCTCTCTCCAAAGATTGGGAACCCAGAAGTGAAGTCAAATAGTTGACTTCAAGAACCAGGGGGAGGAGCTCTGTAATGGGGTGGGGGGGGGATGACACTCGGGATGCTGCACGATCACTCTTAAAATCGTTAAAAACTCTAAACTTTAAAATCTAACAAACGTTGCTACACAACTTCATTTAAAATCCAATACCGGATCTTTCTCTGCTAACTCTTGAAATCAGAGTTTCTCATTCGTTTCTTCACCTGTTCAGGCATACACCGTGGACAGTGTATCAGTATCCTTTCAGAGTATAATCCAGCAGAACGTGCTGACTGCCGTGTCGGTACTGAACACCAAAGTCACACGAATCAAGCCTTCAGCTTCGGGCAACACACGCAAAGATGAATAGTCATAACGAGTTTCCCATGATCCTCTGCACGTCTGCTGAAACGGATAAGTAATAATTTAGTAACCATTTTCCATGTTTGCCTTTTATTTTAGTATTTGTTGTAAGGCGTAGTTAATTTCCTCGTGAATTTGTGCAGTTTCGCTGTCTTAGCTGAACATATGTTCATGAGCCGCAACAACCGTGGATGAGACAACTTGTGAGGATCCAACAGAACGATGTACACAATATATAACCAGTTATTTGCCTGTGGCTATTTTAGCCATTATATCTTACGTACCTCGCTCGATAACCGCTAAATTTCTCTCTTGTTGAGGACTATGGGTCCGAGCGTGTTGGTTCATGGCATGCTGTACATGCTGGTCCACCAGATAGTCTACGGAGAATGCAATACCTTCTCCAAGACGGCGTTGTGATGGACTTTTGTGAGAACGTGCGACTGGCGACAGGGAAGTGGTGGGCGAACCACTGGAAAGATCTGATTAAATAGTTCACCTCTCGGGCTGAATCCACCGAAAGCTCAGGCACATGGTCTTTCCTTACTACTTTTTGTGGTTTTGAGAGAGATTGTGTAAGACATGGTCTTGTTTGGTGAATTTTTCGCTTTTTCCTTTGTTGTCCTGCGATTGATTGTTTTATTTCCTTTTGTACCTCTAAATGTTAAGAGTTTGCCTAGTTTGGTAAACCTTTGTGAAAATGTATTTTAACGAAATAGTAAAATCTAAAACCTAATAAAAGCCATTTTACCCGCTCGACGGTGAGCGAAACAAGTAGCAATAGCCATGAGGTATATCCGGATGGCATAAGTACAAATGAAAGGAACTTATCCGAAACTTGTTTGTTTGGGATGACTTGATCGGATGTTTATCGGTTTGATCCCACGAAAAAGTGACTGAGTAGAAAAATATCAAGGGTGTGGAGAAGTCGTGGTGTTGCGGTAGCACCTTCGCCTCTCGACGTGAAAGACCTGGGTTCAAACCCGCCTCACTTCTTGTCTTTTCACGGGATTTGTCAGATGCATTGTCTAAAACATTTCAACTTCCAACAGTTTTCCGAAGGTGTCGTGGTGTAGCGGTAACACCCTTGCCCCCAGCGATGAGGGACCGGATTTCGAGTCTCCCTCTCGACTTGTCTTTTCGTAGGCTTTGTCAGCAGTGCATTGGCCAAGGCGTATCAAATTGCGTCGGCCTTCAGAAGGTGTCGTGGCGTTGAGGTAACGTCAATACTTCCCGAACTTGACGTTTTAGGTTCGAGCCTGCCTCAGAGCCATTTCTTTGCATGGGCTTTGTCAAGTGGAATGATTAAACAGGCATGGGAAAGGGTGGGTTTGTGTGAGCGCTGTGGTGGCACAGAGGGATTACTCCCAACTCACAATGTCGGAGGTTGGGCGTTCGAGTCTGAGCGGTGGCGGAGGCACTGTGAGGACAAGCATCCGGACTGGGTGGCCAGCTGGAAAGCGGGGCGGAGCCGGAAGCACGGAGACCAGCCGGAAGTCCGAGCGGCGGAGAAAGCACAGAGACACCAAGGATCCAGGTTGAGTGGCCAGCAGAACAGGTGAGTAGTGACGACACCAGTGAGATAAGAAGGCGAGGTAGTGCCCTGGAGGAGGAGGTAGCGGAGCCTGGAGGGGGTGGAGCCAGAAAGGGGGGGGATTAGGACAAAAAGAAAAAAGGAGTGCAAAAACAATTTTTATGCAAAAAATCTGTTTTTTTTTTTCCAAATTTAGAGTTCTTACCTCCTCCTCAGTCCCACCCCCCTCCGGCTCACCGCCCTCTCCGGGCCACCACCCCCTTCCCAGCCACACCCCCCTCTGGGTCCCCACCCCCTGCTGAGCCCCACCTACCTCCAGGATCCTTGCTGTCTCCTCCTCCACCGTTCGGACTTCCTGCAGGTCGTCCAGCCTGGATTCTTCTTCTGTCAGTGCCTCCGCCACCGCTCAGACTCGAACGCCCGACCTCCGACATTGTGTGTTGGGAGTAATCCCTCTGTGCCACCACAGCTCACACATTAACCGACTGTTTCCCATGCCACTTTATACCGTCCACTTGACAGAGCCCATGCAAAGAACTGGCTCTGAGGCAGGCTCGAACCCAAAACGTCAAGTTCGGGAAGCATTGACGTTACCTCAACGCCACGGCAACTTGTGAAGAGATAGCTTCCAACTACCTAAGTCACGCTAGAGCTGCACTTGGAGACCTTATCTGCATCTGCTCAACTTTTGCGTTTGCACCATCCCAATTGTAAAGAAGAGTAACAAGTTGTATAAACTGTCAACAACATTTGAACCACGGATAGTCATCACACCAATTCACCTCCAGTCGCAATGATGAGCAAAAAAGTCATATGTGTTCACAGTGCTTTTATTAGGTTTTAAGTTCAGAATTACATTTAAAATCCACATTCACTTAAAAGCGGTCACAAAACAACCTGCAAAGCAAAATAAACAATCGACCACAGAATAGGTATTTCTACCCCATACTTTAACAAAAGAAAAGAAACAAGCACTTGGCAGCAGTTGCCGACCGGCAATCAAACCATAAGACATTAGGGGGAAAAAAAAGGAAAATTTACCAAATGAGACAGAAAAAAAACCCAACAATCACTTTTAAAAGCACAAAAAGGAAAGGTCATGTGCTCGGGCTTTGGGTGGATTCAGCCCGGGGGGTTGATTACATGACTGGTTCTTTCCAGTGGTCCTTTTGCCAGTCTCTCGCTTTTATGAAAGTCCACCATCACGCTGTCTCGGAGGAGGTTGTGAATCCTCCTCCGGAGAATGACCGGATCTACGTTCTGCTGTCGGTAGACCTCCATGCTCCTCGTCTCCCACGGCACCTGCTCCATGGTGTTGATGATCCTCCGCCTCCGGGCGGGCCGCAGAGGATGTCGTCAGACGTCAGGGAGGACCTCGGCGGGAGCCTGTTCGGGGAGACGGAGGACACGACAAGGCCCCGGACCCGTCTGGCCGTGGAGCGGTCCGTGGGTTTGTGGGTCAGTGCATGTGCGTTTACGGTATGAAACGTACTGGGTAAAAGGCAGATCGGTTACAAAAATGGTGTGGTTTAGATACAAGCTTTAGACCCAAAATCTGGCATAAAGTGCTGACATAACATGCAAACTCCCGTTCCTGAAGTACGATTATGCACCCGAGGTCTGTGTAAGGCTTTGCGTAGGATTTTCCATCAACTCCGGCCCCGATTAGTCTAAAGACCAAAAAACCTCCGCTGACACCATTGTAAGCCTTTTGAAAATGAGCAAAGCATGCAAATGTACATTTCCCCTCTTTCACTCTAGATCTGAGGCTGCAGTGAACATTTTCTGATGTTTTTCTGCTCACCAGCGAAGCGATCAGACACCGAGTGCCTGACAGTGAGTATGAGGCTGGCTGTGGCCGGAGGTCAGCGGTGCCATCGGTGGAAACAGGATGCAGCGGTGGAATAAGCATTTTGGCCGAGTCTGGAAAGAGAGAAAAGGGGACAAACCCCCCCCCCCCCCCATAAGAACACAAAAGCATTCATTAACCGTCACATCTGTTTATAAATCATTCAGTTCCCTGTTCCAAAGTGATTTCCCCTTTCTCTCACCCTTATTTGAAGAATATCTGAATAAGAACAACAAGTGAAGACAGGTCAGAAAGGCAGAGTTAGGCACAGGATACTGCATGTCTGCACTTAAATGGGGACCAGCTGGAGGGTAAGAGAGGATCGACCACACAAGTAATGATCTGCACGGACCGTTCGTCTCCTCCTCTCAGTAGCACCCCGCTCACTGCAAACACCAGGTAAGGGGCAGGGGTGGGGGAGGAATCAAGAGGGCATCTATTCCCAAAATCAAGACCCCCCATGTTTGTGCAGTTTTCTCTACCACGCTTTTCAATCTGACTACTGACCGGGGTAACTCCTCAGAATAATGCTCGATATGAAACAGACAATAGAGAGAGAGAGAGAGAGAGAGAGAGAGCCCTCCAACTGGGGAAGGAGGAGCCTGAAATCTGTGCCCCTCGTTTTAGTCCCTGAGGCCCTGTTATTCCCAGCGTCTCCGTGTGTGTCCCGGGACTGGGGTTTGGGCTCGTTCTGGATCACGGTGACTGGGACAGCAGACTGGATTCTTCCACTCTTGACAGATTTGAACAACTTTCCTCCGAGTCCTTTTCCCCGATCTGTTCATGAGTTCAGCCAGGTTCCCTCTCTTCCTCCCAGTCCGTCTCCTCGGTCAGTGTCCCCCTTGGAGTGAGAAAAAACCTCCCAGTACCGGCACCCCTCCTTGCCCTTTTTTTACCTGTCTGAGGGAAAAAAACACAAACACACACTCCACGATGCAAACTCACAAACAAACCCCTCCTCCTTCACTCCTCCCTCCACTCTGCATTCACACTACCCTCAGCTCAGAGAGAGTCTAATGCAGAGGAGCACAATTTGGGGGTTTTCCTGAATTAAGTGAAGAAAAATGAAGGAGGGAAAAAAATAAGCAGAGAGGGCAAGAGAGAACAACAGGCTTCAGAAACCAGCCCCACGCTGTAATGCAACGTGTTAGACTGTTAGCTTCAGCACAAACAGGGCAGCCAGCGCTTAAGGTGGAGCAGCAATGAGGAGGAGACAGACACAGTCAGCTGTGACTTGGGCCTGGGCTGAGCACGTAGACACACACACACACACTGTACATCCACAAATACACTCACTTATCCACATACACTGACGCTTATACACAGACTCCCACATGCAAGCACGTGAGAGTGTCAACATACACACATCCATACATGTGCACACACCAGCATACACTTACATACACAAAGTCATATATATTGTCACACATTTGAATAAACACACAAGCATTCATTCACACATACATGCATGCATATACACACAGACACACACGCACAGACGCAATATGCTCTCTTGATAACACACACACATGACTCAAGTCATCACTCACCTACAGGCCTGAGTGTACCTCTTTGCAGGTAAAGACACTCACCCACAGGCCTGAGCACTGGTTCTGCCAAGTTAAAATTCAAAACATTGGTCTGACGATTGTTTTTTGTATAAGGCAACACTGATACTCCTCAATTATTTCTCCATCTGGGCTGTAGGTTTGCTTTAAATGAAAAGCATAGCTAAGGAGAGGAGCATTCAGCACAACTAGGTCTATTATTAATGGTACTTATACAATGGCTACCAAATTAAAACATTAAATGAATGAATTGTGGAGCAAACACAAGTGACTGGTTTGTCTCCCTCTGCTGGACATAAAACACTACTACAGCGGTGCGTTTCTGGGCTATGCTGCACACAAAGCGATTGCTGAAGGAGTCACCATTGCAAGTCGTGAACCCCTTTCCTTCTGATTGTGATTTTGAACTACCATGTAAATGCCTGCACACCCTCACCAATGCTCATCTTCATTCAATGAAAACCCTCACCGAGGAGAAAGCGAAGGATCTCCTGCCTTCTGTACACCATCAGTGACGCATTTTTAGTGTTTCTTTGCTCTCTTTATTTGACTTCAGAATCTCTATGACCCGCACGAAACAAAACTGTAAGACTATTCTGGGCTCAAATTTTTGTCACGAGGGTACATTTCTCCGCGTTCATCTCATCCCCTCTCTCTGGTTGGAGTCTCTGATGCATTTTGCACCAACCTGGTGGTGTGATCTCAAGCATCGCTGACTTTAAGCATGTCCTGCAGCGGTTTGTCAGCTGCTTCACCTCAGCAGCACCTCATCTCTGCTCCGCCGCACACCAGCAGCTTCCTCCATTCCTGCCACGGCATTTAAAGACATTTAAAGAGCCTGAGTACCTGCTGAATACAGTAAGATGTATGCCATGATGTCATGTTTTGTCAATAAAAAAACTATTTGAAAGCATATTTATGTGACAGAGTAACAGCAATAGTCACTATTGTTCTTATATGCAGAAATAGACTATGTCCCCCTTGCATACAGAGGCTAAGGGCTCTCACACTCTGTCTCTGCTACAAGGTTCCCCACAAAACAGGT